ACACTAATTTCGTTCCAACCCCTTAAATTCTAAACTTATATAGTAATGCTTGTAATACTTTTAGGTTGATCTGAAGGTTGTATTAGAGATTAACCTTCCGGTATATTGGGATAAAAGAAATGCTAAAACAAACCCAAAAAAAACTGTATATTCTCCTAATTTGAAATTTTGAAATTACTGAACACTCCCTTTAATGTTTATATAATAACTACACAGCTCATCTCATTTGTTTAATCACTCATCCTCCCCTTTTACTTCCTATACCCCCTCCCCTCCTGCACTTCCTACATCCCCCTCCCCACCCCTCGCCCATCCCGAAACCGGAAGTCACAAACCACAAAGCACACTTTTCCATGTTTGAACCAGGAACTAGGATCAGATGTGGGGGCGTTACTAAGGTGGCGGGGCATTACCAAGGATGGTGAGCAGGGTTGGGTTGAGGATGGTTTTGATGAAACCCTAACAAAAGAAATTTAACCCAAAGTGACACCATTGAAACAAAATAAAACGGGAAGATTGAAAAAATATAAAAGGCTGGAAAATTTTTATCTCTTTTTTATTAAAAAAAAACAAAATTTGTGAACTATTTAATAATTAAAGTATTTATGAATATTTATGTTTGAAAGCTTCCTTATAGTGTTGAATAAAAGAGCATATGCGTGTTCAGTTATTTTATTATAAAATAATGTGACAAATTTGTTAAAATTTCTCTAAAATTTTTCAATTTGAATTGTGTTGAACATTTTTAGCATTTAATAAATTATATATTTAAACATGTTCTCCACAAAAACGTGTTATTACCTACTTTCAATTTAGCTAACAAAAGAAAAAGCTGTATATTGTATAGCTTTGTGTGTATCTGTATCTTTGAATATGTATCTCTGTATCTGTATCTCTGTATCTGTATCTCTGTATCTGTATCTCTGTATCTGTATCTCTGTATCTGTATCTCTGTATCTGTATCTCTGTATCTGTATCTCTGTATCTGTATCTCTGTATCTGTATCTCTGTATCTGTATCTCTGTATCTGTATCTCTGTATCTGTATCTCTGTATCTGTATCTCTGTATCTGTATCTCTGTATCTGTATCCCTGTATCTTTATCTATGTATCTGTATCTCTGTATATGTATCTGTATCTCTGTATCTGTATCTGTAACTGCATCTGTATCTCTGTATCTCTGTATCCGTACGGTATCCCTCAAAGCATACTGTGCACCATGGATTATACTGCTGTGTAAAATTAAACTGTAAAATTTAATTCCATTTTTAAATTAGTCGAAAAACTTTAAAAAGGATGAAATTTTTAAGGACTCTATAAAATATTTTTATAACTTTTGTAATTAAAAAAAAAATAAAAATAAAAGTAAATTTTTGATTTAAAAAAATTTACATTTTGGTTGTATAAAGAAAGTTATTCAAAATCCCTTTTGTTCAAATTTTATATCCTACTGTATTCAAAATTTTACTTCACTTACATTTATTTAGTGCATCAGACATTACCCCCTTGAGACATTGCCTACCAGCTAACCCCCCTTCTTTTTGGCCTCTGCAGACACCCCCCTCCCCCCTTCTATTCTAACACAAATTTGCACCCAATTTTGAGTAGTGTTATTTGATTGTGTGAATTTGAAAGATATATTTAATCTGTACAATGAAAATGTCCAGGAGGTGCAGGGAGGTTAACTAGTCTAACATAATCTATCTATCTATCTATCTATCTATCTATCTATCTATCTATCTATCTATCTATCTATGTATCTATCTATCTATCTATCTATCTATCTATCTATCTATCTATCTATCTATCTATTTATCTATCTATTTATCCATCTATCTATCTATATATTTATCTATCAATATATTTATCTATCTATCTATCTATCTATCTATATATCTATCTATCTATCTATCTATCTATCTATCTATCTATCTATCTATCTATCTATCTATCTATCTATCTATCTATCTATCTATTTATCTATAAATCTATCCCTCTATTTATCTGTGTTTATCTATCTAACTATTTTCTATCTACCTATCTGTATGTGTAAACGTGCTAGACATGGTTAAGTTTAGCTTAGCTTAAACTACTAATCATTATAAACTTTTACACTGGAATTCAGGGGACATAAAGGGAACTTAAAGGGCTAGAAGGGACATTAATTTCAAATTAGAAATAAACATTGATTTCAAAACATATGGTCACTGTATTATTTCATCAGCTGAACTTTTACAATAATTACTTATTTTTTGTATTTTAAGTGAATACCATTTTTTTAAGGAAAACAAAGTCTGTATTTCTGCATTTAATCCTGCACACCTTTATTCAACTGTAGTGCAAAAACTTGAAGAATTTTTACCAGTTTTGGAAAAACATTTTAGGGCATTTTTAATCCTACAGTCTTGGATGTCCCACGCCAACCTCAGAGATTGTTTGTAGAAGGAATATTCAATGTCAATTTTAATCAGTTTGAGGTGCATAGCGGTGCTCCTGAAAGCGGACTGCCTTAATCTAATGAAAATATAATAAAATAAAATATAAAAAGGAAGAATCAAAAACATATAAAGTAAGTTACAATTTCATATTAAAAAAGTATTAATTCTAGAATATTCGGTTATTCGGTCATTAATATATGCTGCGTACACCAAAGACGACTCCTTATGTTTCAATGAACAGAGTAGTGTATCTTAAAATAAACCATCGTTAAAACTGTCTGAGCTTCTTTAAGGTATTAATTTAACTGCCTTACAACAGATCTAAGCCTCTTATGCATCTATTGCACTGCAAATGCATAAACTGTCTCAAACTCGGCTTAGTTTAGCTTTGAACCGAGTAATTGAAGCGTTTAGGACTTAAACTTTAGGTCCATGTTGGGTATTTTAGGTCATGATGGGAAGTAATAAGGGTTCACATATATATTTTATATCTGGTAGTTTGAATGTTGTAAACTGTTTAAGTGTTTGGTATATTCTAGCGTATGCCATGTTGTGAAAACAGTGTGAATATAAAACTAGTTAGTGTATAATAAATCGATATAATTACTGTTTTATCTGGAAATTTTCCTTTTTTTATTATAAAATTCCTCTATAAAAGGCTGTTTCACAACGGTACCCTTAAAACCTTTATTTTTTTCAATGTCGTTTTATTAGATTTAAAAGTTTTTAATTTTGATAATTCCTGTATGTTTTCATGCGCTAGTAAAGCGCAAGTTACTTTTGTAAACTTTGATATATAATTAATACTTGATCAGACAAAGCTTTTAAAGGTACCGTTGTGAATCGGGCGCCGTATTTGCCTGGAGGTTCCCTTGAAAGTACGCTTACAGTCCCTTTAACTGTAAAGTTGACACTATTATAAAGATAGAGTTACGTACAAAGAGAATAGAATATATATTAGAGAGAAATTTAGAAAATCCCTCGGTATGAATTTTGTCAGTCCCTTTCAGCCTAAAAGGGAGTTCAAAGTGCACAAATCATGTAAATGTTCACAAATTATATGCAGTAGAGTACATTAATACAGTATGTTCCCTAGACTATCCAATTCAATTTCAAATTTTTTAAAGCTGTTAAATAAACTTTATAAAATGAATTAGGTGAATAAAAAACATCATTTGATTTAAATTTATAAATTATATATTATATTATATTATTATATAAATCATTGTTTGTAAAGTGAAAGACATAGAGTCTATGTGAAATGATCATTGGTCAATTATGAAACCAGCCTATTTCATAATTGGTTTTCTTTTAATATTAATTTTAGATTTTCTATGAAATGATGTTCCAGGGTCCAAAAGGTTAAATAGCACAAATATGTGAAGTACACCTGCAGTATGGAAACAGTACAATAAAATGGCCGTTTTACACAATACAAGGGACTTACAGAGGCAAAACTGAAAATTAAAAATTGTATGTCCGATCATAACTCAGAAACTCCTAAACCGATTTGCTTCAAGTTTTTGTTGAGGAACTTAGGAACCACGGGAATTTTCTTAGCTTGGTTTTAAAGTTCTAATTTGAATAGGTTGTCATTCATAAAGAAAACTTTGTTTCCAGGCAAAGGTGGGTTTCCAAGCTAGTAACATTATGAAAACAAAGTTTGAGGCTAGTTTTCAGTTTATTTGATGCCAGGTGTTTAAACCGAGATGGAAGTGAAGCCTTTCCCGATATAAAGATATCTTAGTTCCCCTTCTATTTATATTCAAAACCGCTGCAAATTCTACTTTTATGTTTATTGTGCGAAAATTCGCAGGTGGCGAAAAAATGAAAATTGCAAACCCCACCCGCAGATTTTATAACAGGGGATAGAACGGAGGGCGTTTTTATAGAGAATTGGTTTAGAGAAGATAACGGATTAGATAGATATGAAACGTAACTCTGTCCATGAGTTCCCTAATTTTATTTTTAAACAATCAAAACAAAGACGTTTACCCGCACTTGGTCTATTTTTACCGGAAACTAAATTTTCGCTCTAAAAGTCGACCCACTCAGCTTAGAAACTTAAAACAAAGCTAAGAATATTCCTGTGGCTCTCCCAACTTTCACAATCAAAATTTAAGGTAAATCGATGACGGGGGGGGGGGAAATAAACAGATATACAGAGAAACAGATTGCAATTTTATATATATAAATATAATTTTGAATTTTTAACGTAATTTTTTACGTAAAAACGCTGCGAACACCGGAAGTTGGGGTGCTTTATTCAAACATTGATCACTCTTAATCTATATATTGTTTTATCTATGGTTTTAATTCAAAGTCATGTTTTAAGAGAAATATTCAGAAAGGTTTATCACGGGGTATTAAAGCAAAAAAGTTTGTGCACCCACTTTATTAATAAACAATTCAATAAACATGTAAAACATATATATGCTATTTATTCTTGAAATACATTTTACATAATAATAAACTAAGGCAGAAATAACTATCAAAGATCAATTATCTTTCACTCAAATTTAGCTAGTAACTTAATTGTAAAACACACACAAACTTTAAACTTACGAGGCAAATATGATTAGAGGGTGAGTGTCATTCCACCGTTTTCAGCAAACCATTCACGGTAGTACGCCACATCAGCATATACTGCATACTTACCAGCCTAAACATAAATAAACTTGAGTTAAACTAAAGTAAACTGCAACCAAGATTGTAATGTTATATGTTATGATCTATGGGCAATGGTCATCTTTTTTGTGAACAAACAACATTTTTCGTAAATGATGGTCATTGCAGTGTTGTTCAGACATGATCGAAGATCGACTTAGATTGTCCAGAGAAATGAAAAAAACGATAGTTTTTAAAAACGAACAATATAAATTATTTAAAATTGAATTGAGAAAATGTTTACAATTGAAATAGAAGATGGGCTCAAAGTACCCTGAAAGCCTAGTATATCTATACTTTGCTTGTCTGTCTCTTAGAATCCAAACATCAAAACGTCTGAACCAAATGGGCCCAAATATTTTGTGATACCTCAAATGACAACAAAAACAGGTTTATAGAATTTGCCTTAAAAAATTAAGATTTTTCAAAATCCACAAAAAATTGATTAACTTGTGGAATTTTGTTGTTATTGTTTGATAATTAAAAAAGATAATAGTTAAAATCGAAGATGAGCGCAACCTGCCCTGGAAACCTAGTTTTAATTAATGGCTATGGTATTTTTGTTATGTACGTTAGTCTTTATATAAGGAATATTATTGCTTGAGCAAACAATATATACCTGTGCACAACCATCACCCCAACTGACAACTCCTGCCAATGAATGAATGTTGGTTGCATCAGGAACTGTGAATGGACCTCCACTGTCTCCCTAAAATCAGCAAGATTTGATAATATTTGATTCAACATAAATCTACTGTTATAACAGAAGCATTGTATTATTTGATTTAATCTTATGAGAAATAAGTTTACAAAATTAGCATTGTGTGGTTTAAAAACCTAGAACTTTCTTAGATCAGAGGACGGAACGTTTGTGTGGAGAATTGTTAATCTTGAACTTGTGTTCTCGAAATCCTCCGCGCGCAGGATATTGAAAAGGAATTAAATTGATTTGTAGTTCTGAATAGCAACGGGATTCATTCTTGATCCCAAGATTCAGAACTTAGAAGACCCGACTTTAGAGCTGGTAACTCTTGCATTGTGGATATCGAGATCAATGTTTGATCCTGATCTTTTGTTAATCTGCAGATTAATTAAATTTTTATACAGTTAGTGGATGAATAATTAAAATTAAGATATTGGAAAGTTATAGATTTTATTGATAGCTTTAATCCTTTGATTGAATGTGCACAATAGTAGATATTGAGATCAAGCAACCTGGATTATAAAAATAAAACACAAAAGTTCCCAGCTCATGTTGTACAACATTTAGCGCACTTTTCGCTACAATTCCTATAGCACTGAAGTGTACTTACTCTACAGGAATCCTTTCCTTCTACTCCTCCTGCACACAGCATACCATCAAGAATCTAGAAAATAATTCATAAAAGATAATTTACATCACAAATTGTTAATTTAGAATTTTAAACGTTATAAAATATATTAATTTTACTTACCTATAAATTCAAAAATTAAATTAAATCAAAAATTAAGTTTTGAACATTCTAGAGTTATGTGAACAAATTTATGTTTATTTATTTTTCAGGCAAAGGAAGAAATATTCTTGAGAAGATAATGAATGACACATTAAAAGGTTACATCTATACTAATTTCTTTCAGATTGTAAATTTTACCGTTTCATTAAAAGCCTTTTTACAAGTATCAGTGCTGACAACATCTTGGTTAACTTCCCTGAGAGGATTTATTTGCACTGTTGGCGGTGGTTTTGTTTGCACTGTTGGCGGTGGTTTTGTTTGCACTGTTGGCGGTGGTTTTGTTTGCACTGTTGGCGGTGGTTTATCAAAAAACTTGGACGGCTCTGTGTCACCCCAGCCTTTATATAACATATTGTAATTTTAATCACAATTCCTTAACCCTTTACCCCCACTCCCCTATTTGACTCCCCTCCTCTCATATTTTTTTGTGATAACCCTAACAGTATTTGAGCTAGGAAGCTATAGTTTTCTAAAACATGCCCATCACTTAAGACTAAAAGCTGGGCTTTTATACCTACTGTCTGAGTTCTCAGGCATACTGCCGACATGCTTTATTTTACTTATACCAGACTAAATCTATATTAGGACCTACTTCCAGTCATTGGATTTTAACATTTTATAGCTCTGTGAAACCCAGTAACAAAACCAAGCAGCTTGCACGATTTTGAAAAGAAATTTTGCACAGACTTTTGCACATACGCCTTTAAAGGGAATTTGCGCATTTTCAGTTTTTCTTGAATACACATTTATGTTTTCAAATTTTGCAAATTTGAATTGGCTGGGTCAAGGGTTTTTCAAAAATGTATAATTTGTTGCAATTTGCGCAAAACGCCTTTTTGCTATTTAACTAAATTTCGCAATACATATTTCTTGTAGTTAAAATCACAGTTCATTGGAAATAAGTTATTTTTATTGGAGACCCCCATCTTTTCATTAGAGACCCCCAGATTTTCATTGTAGACCCCAAAAAATTCATTTGAGACCCTAAGCTTTTCATTGGAGACCCCCAGTTTTTATTTGGAGACCCCCAGTTTTTCATTTGGAGACTCCCAGATTTTTATTGAAGACCCCCACAATTTCATTGAAGACCCCAAGATTTTCAATGGAGACCACAACATCTTTGTCAGACCCCAATAATTTAATTTGAGACAACAGAAAATTATGAAATTAATGGGTCGCTAACTAAAAGCTTGGGCTCCCCAATGAAAAGTTTAGACTTCCAAATAAAATTCTGGGGGTCTCCAATATAAATATTGGGGTCTCCAATGAGACTTCCATGAATGTCTTAATAGGGGTCTCCAAAAGTACTCTGATGAGGATGATTTCTTCCCAGACTCTAATTTATTGTCTTTTACACTTATATTTTAAAACATTTCAACAGAAGAAAAGAGATGTTTACCATAAACTGTTCCAGTTTTCCCAACAAAAGATGTCCCAGCAACTGGTAAGCATGCTGGTGTAAATTTAGTGAGATCAACCTAGTAAACATTATTCGTATCAAAGTAATAAAGTAGGAAAGTTAAATGCTGTTGCATATTCTCTGCGTACTTATTGAAACCAGTTCTCTCTGGACGGTGTTTGTAAACAATAATAGATGCATTAGTGTTACTCTAGTATCCGAGGAGGATAAAAGCATTTAATTTTTATAATTTTGATAATTCACATAAAAGTTTTCTATGACCAGAATATTTCATTGATTTGTTATGTGAAAGATGGATCCCATGTCAGGTTGTGACATTAGTCTTGTGTTTACATTACCGCCCAGAGACAGTACATTGCAGTTCAAAAGATGCGTACACCTCTAAAATAACTATCTTTACTTTATAATTCTTTAATTAATATTTAGTTTGATTTTACTGGAAAAAGGGATTTCATTTGGAGTGGCTCTTTGTCTAAAAGAAGATGCTATTTATTAGAATGAGATACAAGAGGTACTCTTACAACTGATTATCAATGATGAATATAGTTGTCTTAGACTTTGCTAAATTCTGAAAATTTACTTCATTATCTCTGTAAAGCATAGATTCGCAGGTCCCTCTTAAAGTGAAACCAGAACATTGAATGATAAATTTTCTAAAAATTAAAGTAGTTTATCTCAATAATCATTGATCAGAAAAAGGCTGAAAGGGTACTGTTCTCAACCCCTATAGATAAATGTCACCTTTGTCTTCAGCTTCAGAAGAGCAATGTCATTTTCGTCAGGAGGTGCTTTAATTATTATATACATATTGATCATGCTTAAAGATCTTCTCAACAAAATATTGCCTCCTAGATATTAAATCAATTTTAAGTCTTTAAAATTATTAATCACTAGCTTAAGAGCCCGGCATTGTCAGTAGAATTTTTTTTTTAATTTGAAAAAAGTGCTTCCTTTGTTTACTTTCTTATTTATTTGTTTTTATTTTAGGTGAAAATATCTATCTATTTCTCAGATGATTTAGTATTGACGCATACGCCAGAAATGCCTACTGAATATATGGTCTAAATATATGCCAAAATTGAAGTTTAAAACAAACCCCTGCAGACACAGCAGTATGTGTTCTATATGAACCCCACAATTCCTCTTGAAATGAGTTAGCTGAGTTTCTATTGTTGTCTATGGAGCCAACCAACTAATCAACTATAAACATGACAACATATACATGATATAGAATAGATATCCAATACCAAACCTGTTTAGTTCTGTAGTATTCAACTGATCATGCACCCCAAGAACAACTGATATATCGTTCTCAGATATACTTTGGCCCTGCAAATATTTATTTTTTGAAATGAACAAGTTCTCATTTGGATTGTTGCAAGCCTTTAACTCTATCACAATTTGGTGGAAGGGGGCTGTTTTCCAACCCCCCCCCCCCTGTGTGGTTTTTTCTAAATAACTCTATAACAGCTTATACATAAGAATCCTTCACTTTTTCAGAAATAGTTAATAACTATTTTAAATTAAGCTACAGGGCTTATATATTTAAAAACCTTTAAAAATGGATATAATAACATAAGTCACATGTTAATATTTGTCAAAATCTATATTAGACAAAAATATCCCGATTGGGATAGGGTTAATGCCAGCTACTGTGAATGTAAACATAAAACAAAAGTCCAATTACCACTGTCCAAAGTCCATCTCTAAAACAATGACCAGCAGACACCACCCACTCTACAGAAACTAGGGTACCTCCACATCCCCAGTGTACTGAATTCAAATTATGTTTACAGTTGAATTATGTCTTTTTATTAAATGTTTGGTTGAGTTTACAATACTGTTCACTCAGGTTCATATCAAGTACCAGGATGATTTGTTACCAGTTAGAACAAGCAGTAGTACTGTACAAATACAGACTAAATCGGAACAGTACACCAAATAAAATCTTCCCTGCTAGGGAAATTTTAGTTATTTTAGTTATTAGGATTTTCACCAAAAGCAAGTTTTCGCAAATTCTATTAGTGTGCATTTGTTGTTTTTCATGAATTCAAAACTATCTTGCAAAATTTGCGTCATCCGTGCCCCTACCGTTCACTTCAGCTATCAAATAGGTTTTAAAAACAAAGACAAAGTTTTTACCTATTCTGAAAGTAGACTATGTCTAGAACTAGCATGTAGGTTTTTAAAAAATATCTGTCAAGTTCTTTTTGAGGAAATAAATTCAATTTAATCTTTGTTGTATGGTTTAGACTGAAAAATTGTTTCATAAGATTATGAGGCCATCCAAAAGATGTTGAGATTTTCTGCTTAATTGTTGTCATCATATGATAAATATATCAATTATAGAATTAACAAATTTGAAGAAAATAACCATACAAACCTCAAACAATAAAAAGTCAAGTACATTTTAGTTGTATAAATTTAGTTTTTCCACTATTCGTCTGCAGAGGCTAAAATGTCAAAGTTGCAGACACTTTTTATGAAATACCCTAAAATCACTTCAATGTTTGGTAAGATATTTTAGAGCTCATTAACCAGGTGAAGCCTTATCAAAAAAAAAGAATTTTTATAAAGATACAGTGGTCAATGAAAATAAGGGATTTCTAAAAATCTACTTGATTCTAGATATGATCTACTTTTAGAATCGGTAAAAACTTCAGGTGTCTTTATTTTTAACACCAACTTTATAGCAAAGGTGAGCGGTGGCAGACCAATAAATAAATGGAATGCAAAAAGCGCCCAAACTGTAGACAGGCAACTAATTTTAGCTACATGGGTACTTACTTCCGTCAGGATAAGCCACCATAACCATCCAAGGGTACTCATTCACCTTTGTAAAACATGTTTTTGAAATTTAAGTTTTTTTGTTCAGTTAGTGACCATGCCTTGGTAAGAGAGATGAACTTTTGATTGAAATTTTGAGGTTTAAACCCACCTCTGTTTCATTGCCTCCCACAATTTTTGAGCCAGCCTTCTTCACACCACATTTGACTTGTGCAGCAGTGGAAACTGTTGTTGTTAATGATGTTTTTGTTGTACTTGTTGTGGAAACTGTTGTTGTTGTTGTTACTTTAAAACAAAGATTATTATAATCTCATCTTTTGCAGAATGAAAATGAACATTTCAGATCTCAAGATCTCTGGTAGAAAGTGTAATATTAAAATTTAACTATTCATGCAAAGTAAAATGATACACTCTGAAATAAACAAATTAAGTGCAACAAATACTATGTTTTTGTTTTACAAGGCTGTATAACAGTTTATATTGTTTTACTATAGTGATAACTAGAAAACTCTGGAATAGGAAGACGACTTTTAGACTTAATTTATGAATTTAAATAGTGCAAAGAACAGGAAAAACAACAATTGTTTAAAAGGCGCAATTCACTTTATAAGTCATTTAATAAATTACTCAAAAAACTAAATTCGCTTTGTAACAAAATCAATTGAATTAATTATTGCATAAATGTCGGCGTTCTATTCTATAGTTTTTTGGGTATCACTGTAGCTCTATTTTTTTCATATGTATAAGTTAACATTTAAAAACTGTCTGATTGAATACCTGCATAATCAGCTTGAAGGGTCGCTATTAACTGTTTCACTAGAAGAATGATTTGATCCAAAATAGCCAACAAAGCTCTTAGGCTTGTTTTTCTGTTGCTGTGCAACTAACAGTTACTGTTTCAATAGCAAGAGCGTTTACTGCAGAACTAGAAGAACTTGATGTTGGATTGTTTCCAGCATTGTTAACAACTGTTTCAAATGTTTTGATGTAAACAGTGCAAGTAACAGCTCTGTTACCAATGCTTCGGATATCTCTGGTTTTTCTTGCTTGATCAGCAATTGCTGTGGCAGCTGTCTTCAATTTTTCTAGAGCCTCCAAGGTAGCTGTAGCTGCATCTATTTTCTTCTTAACGTCTTCAGGGGATTTTGCACAATTGGCAATTACTTAAGATGCCTCATCTTGAAGTCCTCTACATTCAGAAAAGGCTGTAACACAACTTTTTTGTGTTTTTGTAACATCTGCATTTAGTTGTGCAATGTTGCATGGACTAAACTTGGTGTTGAGAGTCTCCAGGTTTGGGTCTTTCCAGCATGTGCAGATGTCAGCAGTTTTTTTTGTACAAATATCCACAGCGTCTGAGAAAAATTTTGCATCTGTAGCACATGTATCCAGAAGAGTAGCATTTACAGTAGGTAGAGCTGTCTCACAAGCTTGCTTGATATTGTCTTGGCAGCTGGTTAAGCTGGCAAAAATAGCTTGTAATCTTAAAGTTGCTGGCGAGGTACTGTTTCCAGAACAAACGAGTGCACTGGCATTTCCACCTCCTGACTGCAGTACATGTTTGACTCACTATTTTGTTGCTATTTTGACTTTTAACTCTTCTTGACTTTTTTGCATTCTTCTTCTTTTTGTTTTTTATTTTCCTTTTTTGCCTCTTTTCCAGTTTTTTAGCTTTCTTAGAGACTTTATTTTTCTTTGCTTTTTTCTTTCCTTCCTTTTCCTTCATTTTCTTGTTTCTTTTTTTATTGCTTTTCTTACTCTTTTTAGCTTTCTTGCTTGAAGAGAGTTTATTGTTGCCGCCTTTTATTTCTTTTCCATGACTTGATTCTTCAACATCTTGGGTTTTTTTTGCCAGCAGCTGTTGGAGCTTTAATAAACAAATTAATTAAAAACATATATTTTTTTCTTATTTAAAACAAATCTACTAAAATCTTCTCTAATTTTAATGATTTAATTTTCACTTTTTCTGAATGATTATACACCGTACACTTAAACGTCTTTAATTTCTTTACAATACCCCATTCTCATCTCAACTACCATGTCTAGTCAGACACTCCCTTTAACGCCAATATTTTTTCCCCACTAGAATTGATAGATAGACTAAAAACATCACAATAATCAAGGGTGTAATGCAAGGAAAGTTAATTGCGGTTGTGTATACTCTGCGTAGTCGTACACAACGAAACCAGTTCTCTTTGGGCGGAATTTGTAAATAAGAATAGATGCATCAGTGTTCGTTAAGTATCCGAAGGAGGTTAAAAGCATTAAATTTTGATAATTTTGATAATTCACATAATAGTTTCCTATGATTTCTTTTATGTGAAAGATGGATCCCATCCATCTTGTGTTTACATTACCGCCCAGAGACAGTACACTGCAGTACAAAAGATGTGTATACTTCTGAAATAACTTTCCTTCCATTACATCCTTGACAATAATGGCCTTCTTTGTTTACCACAATAATAATTTAATGAATATGTACACATATGCTATTTATTCTTGAAATACATTTTACATAAAAATGATAAACTAAGGCAGATATAACTATCAAAGATCTGTTATCTATAACACAAATGTAGCTAGTGACTTAATATACTTATGCATTTATAATATATAATACTTAAAACTTATGAGGTAAATATTCCACCCTCAACTAAGTTTTCATAGCGTACTGCAGCAATTTGCAGTACACTGACTGAAAAATAATCAGATTTAGTGCGGAGAGTGATTAGGTTAGTGTTATTCCACCGTTAGCAGCAAACTGTTCTTGAAGCCAGGCATTGTAGTAAGCCACATCAGCATATACTCCATAACTACCAGCCTAAACACAAATATATTCTGCCTTATCTTCAGGGGTTCCATTATTCTGGAATAAAATTTCCATCTTGGAAATGGAATGATTCAGAATTTTGTTGCTTAAAGTGGAATTCTGGGATAACTCCTGATCAAATGGAAACTGGAATGCTTACGGATTACATAACATAATCCGGAAAAATTCCCAGTTTCCATTTTGTAACCCGGAAATGGGTGCGGTTTACATAATGTAAACCATAAAACTTCTAGGTTCCATTTTATAACCCGGAAATTTTTCCGGTTTACGTGACAAAACAATTTTTATTTTAATTTATTTAGAGCCAGGTGGGATGTGTCCTGGTTGACTTGGATAGCGGACTGGTTGTGCCTGGACTGATACAGTTTGGGGGACGAACTTTTAAGAGTACGTCATTTACTACATAAACACTTTGCTTTCTATCAGGATGTTTGTATCCAATAAATGTTAAAACAGCTGGAACAATCGGCCCCAAATTTTGTGTGGGACCTTTCATGACCCTGGGAAGGTTAAGGGATGATCGGAATTTCATAAATTAGCCTCAAATCAAATCAAATCCACGAATTTCTTATAAAATCCTCGAAGTTTTGTTTTTTTATTATTTTACAATGTATACAATGAGAAAATGTTTACAATTGAAATAGAAGATGGGCTCAAAGTACCCTGAAAGCCTAGTATATCTATACTTTGCTTGTCTTTCTGTTAGAATCTAAACATCAAAACGTCTGAACCAAATGGGCCCAAATATTTTGTGGTACCTCAAATGACAACAAAAAAAAGGTTTATAGAATTTGCCTTAAAAAAATACAATTTTTTAGAATCCACAAAAAATTGATTAACCTTTGGAATTTTGTTGTTATTGTTTGATAATTAAAGAAGTGAAAATGTTGCAGATAAAAGCTGAAATCGGATATGAGCACAACCTGCCCTGGAAGCCTAGTTTTTATTAATGGCTTTGGTATTTTTATTATGTATGTTAGGGTTTATATAAGGAATATTATTGCTTGTGCAAAAAATATATACCTTTGCACAACCATCACCCCAACTGACAACTCCTGCCAATGAATGAATGTTGGTTGCATCAGGAACTGTGAATTTAGGCCTAAAGGGAGGGCTTTGGGTATGTAAGAAAAGTCAGAAAATTTCAACAGCCTCAGACCAATACTTTTTGAGTTATGTAAAAAAAACTACAGGGGGGGGGGACAAATTGACCCCCCCCCAGCGGGAATAGGGTTAAAAACCTAGAACTGTCTTAGATCAGAGGACGAAACGTTTGTGTGGAGAATTGTTAATCTTGAACTTGTGTTCTCTAAATCCTCGCGCACAGGATATTGAAAAGGAATTAAATTGATTTGTAGTTCTGAATAGCATAGAGATTCATTCTTGATCCCAAGATTCAGAACTTATAAGACCCGACTTCAGAGCTGGTAACTCTTGCATTGTGGATATCAAGATCAATGTTTGATCCTGATCTTTTGTTAATCTGCAGATTAATTAAATTTTTATTCAGTTAGTGGATGAATAACTAAAATTAAGATATTGGAAAGTTATAGATTTTATTGATAGCTGTATTCCTTTAATTGAAAGTGCACAACAGTAGATATTGAGATCAAGCAACCTGGATTATAAAAATAAAACACAAAAGTTGCCAGCTCATGTTGTACAACATTTAGCGCACTTTTCGCTACAATTCCTCTGAAGTGTACTTACTTGACAAGAATCCTTTCCTGCTACTCCTCCTGCACACAGCATACCATCAAGAATCTAGAAATTAGTGGTTAGTTTAAATTAAATAGCAAATTGTTACTCCTGCGTTAGAGTCTCTGAGGACCTAATTTAACCAATTTGAGCTGCATAGCTAAACTACCATCTGCCGGTTCAAATTTGAACCACTGTACCGCACCAATTCAAAGGTAAAGAATTTATGAAATCAGTGGCAATAAGTAACTCAATATAAATAATCTCCTCAAGATCTTTTTAAAATTTTTTTAATTAACACAAATCCCATTGTGAACATTTCAGAAGGACGAAAACCAATTTTTTGATCATTTCATAGTTTCTTGCAAAACAAGAAATATGCTTAAAAACTTAATGTCACATTAAAAGGTTACATCTATACTATGGTCTTTAAAATTAAAAAATTTACCGAATTATCAAAAACAGTTTTACAAGTAGCAATGCTGACAACATCTTGGTTAACTTCCAATAGCTTGTTAGAGACCTGTCCACCAGACGATGTTGTACCCCAACCTTTATATAACATATTCAAGTTATAATCAAAAGTGTTTTATATAATTATGTTCAAAGTTATTCCACAGAATTCACTAAATCAATTTTGCTTACAAAACATCCAGAGTGCAGCAAGGGATGTTTTTTCCGCAAAATTTGTCGATGGGTCGCAAGGGAAGAAACTTGATTTTATGTCCCTCTGTTTGGTATCATAATTCAGAAATGTTGGCCAAAATGCGGTAATGTTGGTAAATGTGGTATTTCACAGCTACTTTACAGGGAAGTTAAGGAAATTTAACTTTAAAAGAGGTTACCAAGGGCTATTTTGGAAACAAAACATCCAGACTGCAAGGAGGGATGTTTTTTTTTGGAAAAATTTACATAATTTTATCGTCTTTTTCATGAGATGACAATGGGCGATCTTTTCAAATAAACTTTGCAGAATGTGTTTTTTTAAATAATCATCCCAATGGACGTTAGGTAACTTAGCGCCCTATGTTGGGGGAATCATAGGTCGATAATGTAAAATACATTATTTTTAAGATAGAAAATTTACCATAAACTGTTCCAGTCTTCCCAACAAAAGATGTCCCAGTAGGTGGTAAACATGCTGGAGTATAAATCTTCAGATCAGCCTGGCACACATTATTCATATTTATTTTGATATTTTGTTGTATTGATTTTTGTATGGATGAAATTTCAAGTGACCCACCAATCAAAAAAAGAATGACCTGTATGATTCACAATGGAAATCTCAATCAAATAATGAGGTAAAGTATTGTTGTTTTTCTATCATAAACTTCTGACAATTTTATTTATAATCTCTGTTTAGCTTAAATGCGAAAGTCACCTTTAAAGAGGAACCAGAATATAAAATAATCAATCTTCCAAGAGATAAAGTATGATATCTCACTTATCCTTGATCAGACAAAAGCTAAAAGAGTATCCTTGTGAATTTCTTTATTTTTTCATAAAAATGTCACCTTTGTACTGAGCTTGAGAAGAGCAATGTCATCTTTTTGTTTACCCGGAACATATCCTGGATGTGTAATAATCTTCTCAACAGAAAACTGCTTCCTAAATATTAAATTATTTAGCATTTTGTGTCTGTGTGATTATGAAATATGAAATATAAATACAAATTTGTATCCTAACAGGCCAAAAATAACGTTGGGGCGAATCAGAGTTTAGAAAAATTGGAAACCCGGGTCGTTCGTCAATTGCATGGGCAGTACAAAATGAAATTATTTTCTTTCAAAATGTTATGGTGCACGTACAACAACAAGAAAATGGAGATCTAGAAAACCAGAAATGTTAAAATATTTGCAGCTGCTTTTATCTAATTATTTATAGAATTTTGCTAAAATTAAGATTTAGAAAACAAATATGTTTTAAAAAACGTCTTTGCGATTTTAAAACAGCATAGGGCATGGTGTTGATTGCCAACCAACTAATATGATAACAAGACAACATATATTAATGATTTATATATTTCCGAACCTGATCTGTGTTTCTGTAGTTGAGATTCGATCATGCTCTCCAAGAACAACAGATATTTGGCTTGGTGTGATTGCTTGGTCCTACACATACTTATATATAAATATAAGAATATTAATCAGAATGTCTTATATTGAATTTTTGCAAACCTGTCATGCTAACTTCTGTAAATGTAAACATCACCTTAAAGGAATATTAGCATAATTGCATTTGACCATCTGGCCTCTGTTCAAAGATGGCAATGCCTGATTTATAATTCAGTATCTTTGAAACCTTAAGCTAATCAATAATATGGCAGATGGCTCAAAAAGTGTTTATTTTAGTGAGTTTCTCCATAGCATCTTAAAAACAAAAATTGCAGAAGTCACTTTTGCAGAGAATCCATACAGAAAATTAACAGTTTAAAGAAACAAAAATATTGATATCTTATTCATACTTGATCAAACAAAGGTTTCAAGGATACCAATGTACATCAGGCCTGTATAATCTTTGAAAGCGTCACTTGAAATTATACTTGCAGTCCCTTTCAAACATGTTATTACCTGGTTTGGTCCATCTGTAAAAATACAATGAGAAGCAGTTACAACCCACTCTGCTGAAACTAGGGTAGCTCCGCATCCGTAGTAACCTAAAGTCATATTATGTGAAATATAATAGAATTAAGTCTTAATAGTAAATATTAGGTCAGGACATTGAGATGATAATACTGTTTGTGGGATTTCTACCAAAAGCAAAATATTGCAATTGCTTTGCTTATTATCTTTGCAAGGGGGGTTTGCCAAATCTATTGAGTGTAATTGTGCTGTGTGCACTGTACATAACTGCTTAAAATCATTTTGCACAATATTTGCACTATAACTTATCCACCAGAATAGGAATGGTATTTTCACTTGCTTGAAATGTATAAAAGCCTAAATAAAAGCAAATCAATTGTGCATTCCCTAACTGTAGGTAATTGTACGCATATAAAGTATTGCTTTTTTAAAGCTTGGGTTTCCATTTAAAGAGACTATAAGCTTAACTTTACATGACTCTCCACCAAAAAGATGGCAATGCCTGATTTACACTGGTACCCTTGAATAAACATGGAGTTTGAAATTATACTTGATCAGACAAAACTTTTAAGGGTACCATTGTGAATCAGATATTACCATCTTTCCATGGAGGCAAGAGACTTAAAATTATGCATACAGTGTCTTAAGAACAATCAAAGGGTACTTACTTCCCTGAGGATTAGCCATCATAACCATCCAAGGGTACTCATTCACCTGAGTAAAATATTTTTTTAAAAATCAGAACATTTTTTAGTTCGAGATCTTTCCTTCCCAGATGTAAAAATTTGAGATATGAATCTAAAAGTTTAAACCCACCTGTGTTTCTACGCCTCCCACAATTTTTGTGCCAGCCTTCTTTACACCACATTTGACTTGTGCAGCAGTTGTTGTTGTGGTGGCTGTTGATGTGATGGCTGTTGTTGTTGTTGTTGATGATGTTTTTGTTGTGGTCTTTGTTGTAGTGACTGCTGTTATTGTTGTCACTTTTGAAAAAAAAAAATATTATGATCTCATCTTTTGAATGCAGATTAAATTGATTAATTTCATTTGTCCGGAAGAAAGCGTTTTATTTAAATAATTAAAAAAATGTGTAATAAGCATGTAGAAAATTGTTGTTAAATAACTGAGTTGTTTTTTAAAATTTGTAAGATAAAGATAAAAAGGTTTTACAATCAGCTGTTTGGCTTAATTTATATACAATTATAAAGATGAATTGTTGCAAAAACGAAATAAAGGGATTTTAATATTATTCTTGCAAAGTAAAGATAGAGAGTGATTAGGTTAGTGTTATTCCACCGTTAGCAGCAAACTGTTCTTGAAGCCAGGCATTGTAGTAAGCCACATCAGCATATATTCCATAACTACCAGCCTAAACATAAATATATGTTTAGGGTTTCCATTATTCTGGAATAAAATTTCCATATTGGAAATGGAATGATTCGGAATTTTGTTGCTTATAGTGGAATTCTTGGATAAGTCCTGATCAAATCGAAACTGGAATGCTTACAGATTACATAACATAATCCAGTAATTTGTTCAGTTTACAGAATGGAAACCAAAAAGTTCCAAGTTTTCATCTTGTAACCTGGAAATGTGTACGGTTTACATAACGTAAACCATAAAACTTCTAGTTTCCATTTTATTACCCAGAAATTTTTCCGCTTTACAGGACAAAACAATTTTTATTTTAATTCATTTAGAGCCAGGGGGTTGTGTCCTGGTTGACTTGGATAGTGGACTGGTTGTGCCTAGACTGATACAGTTTGGGGGACGAACTTTTAAGAGTACGTCATTTACTACATAGACACTTTGCTTTCTATCTTTATGTTTGTATCCAATAAATGTTAAAACAGCTGGAACAATCAGCCCCAAATTTTGTGTGGGACCTTACATGACCCTGGGAAGGTTAAGGGATGATCAAAATTTCATAAATTAGCCTCAAATCAAATTCTATTTTCATTGAATTGTGAAAATCCAGGAATTTCTTATAAAATCCGATAAGTTTTGTTTTCTTATTATTTTGGCATTTGACAATCTATGTTGTGTGGGCATGCCCCATAAAATTCCAAAACTGAGAGAGGGGGATTGAATTTTGTAGATCTAGAAAAATAATATCCGTAGGATGCCTGCGTAGAGACAGGCAGCTGGTAGAGTCTTAATGTAAGACATGTAGCCACAGCACTCAGCCCCCTAGCCTATCCTAGCTGCAGAGCTTGGCACATAAAGTGCCTTAACCTAACCTAACCCTAGATCTATAAAATTCAATCCCCCTCTCTCTGTTTTGGAATTTTAAGGGGCATGTGCATGCAACATAGAATGGCAACTCCCTATTATTTTACAATCTATACAACGAGAAAATATTACAATTGAAATAGAAGATGGGCTCAAAGTACCCTGAAAGCCTAGTGTATCTATACTTTGCTTGTCTGACTGTTAAAATCTAAACATCAAAACATCTGAACTAAATGGGCCCAAATATTTTGTGGGACCTCAAATGACAACAAAAAATGTAGAGTTTGCCTTAAAAAAATACGATTTTTCAAAATCTACAAAAAAATGATTAACTTATGGGATTATGTTGTTATTGTTTGATAATTAAAGAAGTGAAAATGTTGCAGATAAAAGCTGAAATCGGATATGAGCGCAACCTGCCCTGGAAGCCTAGTTTTTATTAATGGCTTTGGTATTTTTATTATGTATGTTAGGGTTTATATAAGGAATATTATTGCTTGTGCAAAAAATATATACCTTTGCACAACCATCACCCCAACTGACAACTCCTGCCAATGAATGAATGTTGGTTGCATCAGGAACTGTGAATGGACCTCCACTGTCTCCCTAAAATCAGCAACATTTGATAATATTTGATTCAACATAAATCTACATGTTATAACAGAAGCATTGCATTATTTGATTTAACCAAAAGAGAGATAAGTTTACAAAAATAGCATTGTGTGGTTTAAAAACCTGGAACTGTCTTAGATCAAAGGACGGAACGTTTGTGTGGAGAATTGTTAATCTTGAACTTTTGTTCTCAAAGTCCTCCACGCACAGGATATTGAAAAGGAATTGAATTGATTTGTAGAAATTGATTTGTAGTTCTTCATAGCATACAGACTCATTCTTGATCCCAAGATTCAGAACTCAAAAGTTCCAACTTCAGAGCTGGCAACTCTTGGATTGTGAATATCAAAGATCAATGTTTGATCTTGATATTTTGTTAATCTGCAGATTAATTAAATCTTTATTCAGTTAGTGGATGAATAACTAAAATTAAGATATTAGAAAGTTATAAATTTTATTGATAGCTTTAATCTTTTAATTGAAAGTGCACCATAGAAGATAATAAGATAAAGCAACCTGGATTATAAATATACAACACAAAAGTTCCCAGCTCATGTTGTACAACATTTAGGGTACTTTTTGCTACAATTCCTAAAGCTCTGAAGTGTACTTACTTGACAAGAATCCTTTCCTAGTACTCCTCCTGCACACAGCATACCATCAAGAATCTAGAAATTAGTAGTTAATCAGAATTAAATAGCAAGTTACTCCTGTGTTAAGAGTCTCCGGGGACCTAATTTAATCAATTTGAGCTGCATCGCTAAACTACCTTTTGCCGGTTCAAATTTGAACCACTGAACTGCACCAATTTAAAGTTAAAGATTGTTTGAAATCAGAGGTAATAATTCAATAAAAATAATTTCCTCAAAATCTTTTTAAAACATTTATTTAATTAACACAAATCCCATTGTGAACATTTCAGAAGGACGAAAACCAATTTTTTGATCATTTCATAGTTTCTTGCAAAACAAGAAATATGCTTAAAAACTTAATGTCACATTAAAAGGTTACATCTATACTATGGTCTTTAAAATTTAAAAATTTACCGAATTATAAAAAACAGTTTTACAAGTAGCAATGCTGACAACATCTTGGTTAACTTTCAATAGCTTGTTAGAGACCTGTCCACCAGACGATGTTGTACCCCAACCTTTATATAACATATTCAAGTTATAATCAAAAGTGTTTTATATAATTATTTTCAAAGTTATTCCACAGAATTCACTAAATCAAGTTTGCTTACAAAACATCCAGAGTGCAGCAAGGGATGTTTTTTCCACAAAATTTGTTGATGGGTCGCAAGGGAAACTTGATTTGATGTCCCTCTGTTGGGTATCATAATTCAGAAATGTTGGCCAAAATGCGGTAATGTTGGTAAATGTGGTATTTCACAACTACTTTACAGGGAAGTTAAGGGAATTTAACTTTAAAAGAGATTACCAAGGGCTATTTTGCAAACAAAACATCCAGACCGCAGGGAGGCATGTTTTTTTTGGAAAACTTTACATAATTTTATCGTCTTTTTCATGAGATGACAATGGGCGATCTTTTCAAATAAACTTTGCAGAATGTGTTTTTTTAAATAATCATCCCAATGGACATTAGGTAACTTAGCGCCCTATGTTGGGGGAATCATAGGTGGATAATGTAAAATACATAATTCTAAGATAGAAAATTTACCATAAACTGTTCCAGTTTTCCCAACAAACGATGTCCCAGTAGGTGGTAAACATGCTGGAGTATAAATATTCAGATCAGCCTGGCAAACATTATTCATATTTATTTTGATATTTTGATATTTCGATATATTGATTTTTGGATGGATGAAATTTCAAGTGACCCTCCAATCAAAAAAAAAGAATGACCTGTATGATTCACAATGGAAATCTCTATCAAATAATAAAGTAATTAGTATTGTTGTTTTTCTATTATAAACTTTGTTGGATTCTGACAATTTCATTTATAATCTCTGTATAGCTTAAATGCGAAAGTCACCTTGAAAGAGGAACTAGAATATAAAATAATCAATTTTCCAAAAGATAAAGTATAATATCTCATTTATCCTTGATCAGACAAAAGCTAAAAGAGTATCCTTGTAAATTCCTTTATTTTTTCATAAAAATATCACCTTTGTACTGAGCTTAAGAAGAGCAATGTCATCTTTAAATGTAGCCCGAACATATCCTGGATGTGTAATAATCTTCTCAACAAAAAACTGCTTCCTAAATATTAAATTATTTAGCATTTTGGGTCTGTGATGATTATGAAATATGTAAAATATGAATACATATTTTAATCCTAACAGGCCAGAAATAACGTTGGGGCGAATCAGAGTTCAGAAAAATAGGGTCCTTCGTAGAGATGTCAACATTTTGATTTTTCTAGATTTTAGCTTTCCTTACGATAGTGTTCTTCAAAAGTATTAACGTTTGAAACGTTACGTTGCACATTATGAAATTTTATGGTATAGAGTAGCGTTACGTAATGAATTTTTTGCACTTGAATACCTTATACAACGTTAAGCTTTAGTAAATATTATTGAAAAAAACAGTAAGCTTCGTTATGCTTTTGCATTTGATGTTTTAAAAAACTTTCCCAACTTTGTGTTAAAGCTTATGTAATATAACCACAATTTTTTAACGTTCCACTTTCATGCAAGGTAAATATTTTCAAAGACCTTAAGTTACACTTTAACTTGGTTTAAGATTTAAAAGATGACAAATGTTTTGCTTTATAATAAAACGTCATTGGGGCATAGTTCTGTACGTTACAATGCATTTCAGTGCAAAGAATATTTTTTGTTAATGTTACGTTTTATCTTAACTTTTCCAATATAAACTCTTTTAATTAAGTTTAGAAATTTTACTAAAATGCACCTTTTCTTACGTTACGATTTATCGAAACGTTATTGTGAAAACTTTTTTGTTACACTTTTTTACAACTGACAATCAAAACTGTTTATTCGTTTCATTTATAAGAAAGATTTGAAAAAAAGGTTCTATATGTTGCGTTGTATTAAAATGTTCAAGCCTTAATGTTTCTAACGTTACACTTTATTAAAATAATATTGTTTCTAAATGAAAGCATTGAAAGATTTTTTCTGTCACAATTACATATTTTTACTCACCCTGTATGTTGCTGTTGTATTGTTAACCTATAGAGAATGTGTAGAAGAAAATGCATTATGCAATATAAAGATGTTAAAATATTATTATGATTAACGATTTTTAAAATTTGTAAATGAAAGTTTTAAGCATTAGACTTTCAACTCAAAGTGTGTCTTTAAGGGACTAGAGACGTAATTTCAAGTGATCTTCCATTTATGGAGTGGCATGTCCATTGTCCAGCAGGGGTTCAATATTGGAATAGAGCCAACTGCCCACCGGAAGTCGCTGCGTTTTCACCGTAAGGCCACAAAAAAAAATTTATTTTTTATTTTCATGTTTTACATCATTTTCTTTGAAATTCAATGCTAAATTCAAATGTGAAAAGCATTTAAAAAAATTGAAAATTGAGAGAGTCAGAGCTAAAAAACTTATCAAAAACATTAAAAAGTTTTAAAACCGGAATTTAGTACCGTTATTTGGCCATAACTTCTTTAGATTTTAATATATTTAAAAATGGTTTTCGAATCTGAATTCAGCATGACATTTCCAAGAAAATGATGTATCATATTTATTTTTTGCCAGATATTAGAGAATGTGTAGAAGAAAATGCATTATGCAATATAAAGATGTTAAAATATTATTATGATTAACGATTTTTAAAATTTGTAAATGAAAGTTTTAAGCATTAGACTTTCAACTCAAAGTGTGTCTTTAAGGGACTAGAGACGTAATTTCAAGTGATCTTCCATTTATGGAGTGGCATGTCCATTGTCCAGCAGGGGTTCAATATTGGAATAGAGCCAACTGCCCACCGGAAGTCGCTGCGTTTTCACCGTAAGGCCACAAAAAAAAATTTATTTTTTATTTTCATGTTTTACATCATTTTCTTTGAAATTCAATGCTAAATTCAAATGTGAAAAGCATTTAAAAAAATTGAAAATTGAGAGAGTCAGAGCTAAAAAACTTATCAAAAACATTAAAAAGTTTTAAAACTGGAATTTAGTACTGTTATTTGGCCATAACTTCTTTAGATTTTAATATATTTAAAAATGGTTTTCGAATCTGAATTCAGCATGACATTTCCAAGAAAATGATGTATCATATTTATTTTTTGCCAGATACAAGACAGGAAAACACTCATAATTTTCAAATCATCAATCAGATAAAGGTATACACATTATCATTGGGAATCGAGCATGGCCCTCTTTAAATGGAGGGATCACTTGAAATTATTGTGTATTTGACGAGCTTAAAAAATAGACATGTACTTGAACACCTTAGTAAAGTAGTTAAAATTCGGCAAGGCAAACCACTTTTGCATGTGGAGCAGTAGTTCAAAATTATTTTAGATTAGTTTGGGGTTAATTTTTTCTTTTTTTACGCAATGCAGACTGACCCTTTTTTTCTATTCATAGTTTAAAATATCTAAGGCCTACAACATTGGGTAGCAAAGATATATGGATTAAAAATATATGTTTATGAACAACTTGCAATTCCTTTAAACATTCTTATCTAACAGAAGTCATAGCTTGAAATATCAAAAGTCTACAACACCAGCTTGCAAAGATTATAATTTGTGGCGAATTTTTAGTTTTTTTTTTGTGTTTTTTTTGTGTTACTTACAAAGTGAGTAAAAAAGCAGCATTAGTTTTAGTTTACAAACCACAATGAAAATGTTTTCAGAGTTCATGTTTGGGGTTAAAAAATATTTAATATAGTGCTAAATTTTTTTTAACACAAACAACGCGAAATAAAATTATTTAACAATTTTTTCTTTTTTAAAAAGCTCGATTAAAAAATCAGCTTTTTTTTCTATTCTAAAGTTTCATAAAAATCTATTGATGAATAAAACATAACACGCATTTTCCATTTGATAAAATATTGTCAAATTTCTAAATTTTTCAATCTAAAACATGAACCATGCCAACTGAAGTTATGATTTCAAATAGTCAAATAAACATGAAACACAGCAATTGTGTTTGTTTGCAGACCCGTTCCACTTAATAAGTTGATTTTTTTGCAATTAGTAAATCATTTGCTTTATAACAGAAAATGCATATGTAAAATTTCTTAATGTCGTATTCCAGAGTTTTAGTGGGTATCATCAAACAATGGCAAATCAAAACCTTTAATGTCCAAGAAATATTTATAAGATTTGAATTTTCACTAATAGCATGTTACAAAAAAACTCGTTTACACTTTAGAAAGGAACTAAGTTTTTTTTTCAAATTTATTAACCCAACTCGATGGTTTAAACCTTGTATAATCAATATTAATGGTCTACGACATCAGGTTGCAAGGATATATTAAATGAAAATTAGATTTTTTGGCCTAAATTCATTTTCTTTAAACTTGAAATGAAAAACCATAAGTCTTTGCTTATATAATCATCAGTTCGAATCTCTTACATTGATATATTAAAATGGGGGTTAATGTTGTTCTTGATCCAACTTTTTGTGATGATTATTTTATGAATGTTTTGAGGGGACTGGGGTTTAGGAATGCATGATACACCGAGAAGGCAGATACTCTCCCAGTGAATGGGATTGGGCCCCAGTGGTGGATTACACATTCATCCCCCCCTCCCCCCTCCTTAATCTCTTTGTCGGAGTTGCCGTTTACTTTGAGCCCAAGATCCTTGTTAAAATCAAATATATTAGTTACTCTCTGTTCACATTATGAATCCCTATCTGTCTCCATGCCCAACCTTCGATTGATGCTGCACTGATTTTCTCTTTGGTTCTTTTTGTGTATATGTTTTGTTTTTTTTAAATGTTAAAATTTAATTAAAGAATTTGGTTAACAGGGGGGCTCAGCTATTGAGTCCGCCTGCTGCGGAAAATAATATTTTACATATTATGATTTTTAAAAATTAATTTGTAAATATTGTTTTTTTTCTGCAGAAATAAATGATTTGATTTGATATTAGAGATGTTTTGAAATGTTTTGATTGACAGAATTATTGTTACGCTTTTGAAATTAAAACTTAGCCCTCATTGTCTAACATTTTCATCAGACATATATCTAACGTTAGACTAATCAATTTAGTATTCTGAGAAAAGTTATGAAACATTTTGATTTTCTTAATTACATTTTTTTAAATTTTATACCTTACATTATTGAAATATTACTCTGTAAAAAAAACTTTTGTTTCCTGATTATTAAAATAATAACCCATTTCTGCAACGTTGAATTTTTCATTATACAATAAGGGAAAACGTTTCAAAACGTTTTCATAAACAGTAATGCATTTTTCAGTTATACAACGTTACACTTTTTATGCATTAAACTTTGAAATAGAAATCCTTTTGTTACAATATTCAATCAAATCACAATTCATTTTTCAAACGTTAGACTTTCAAGCACCCTGTGGAAACAAAACATTTCTTTACATTATGGTCATAAAAGTTGTAGATATTAGAAAAATAACATTGCATTTCCACAAAACGCTAGCGTTTGGGGCATATTCCTCTAATGTTAACGTTTAATGTTAACGTTAGGTATGAGCTCCTATAACGTTAACGTTTAAAGTTCACATTATATAGAATATACCCAAAAATTACACATTATTGTAACAAAACGTACAAAAATGTACATTTTACATTACGTTACACTATCGTTGACATCTCTAGTCTTTCGGCAAGTGCAAGGGCAGTACAGAAAAAAAAATTTTTTTTTATTTTTGCCAAACATGTTAGATATGATGCTCGTACAACAACAAGAAAATTAAGATCTAAAATAATAGAAATGTTAAAATATTTGTAGCTGCTTTTATCTAATTATTTATAGAATTTTGCTAAAATTAAGATTTAGAAAACAAATATGTTTTAAAAACGTTTTTGTGATTTTAAAACAACATAGGGCATGGTGTTGATTGCCAACCAATTTCCAAACCTGATTTGTGTTTCTGTAGTTGAGATTCGATCATGCTCTCCAAGAACAACAGATATTTGGCTTGGTGTGATTGCTTGGTCCTACACATACTTATATATAAATATAAGAATATTAATCAGAATGTCTTATATTGAATTTTTGCAAACCTGTCATGCTAACGTCTGTGAATGTAAACATCACCTTAAAGGAATATTAGCATAATTGCATTTGACCCTCTGGCCTCTGTTCAAAGAACAATGCCTGATTTATAATTCAGTATCTTTGAAACCTTAAGCTAATCAATAATATGGCAGATGCCTCAAAAAGTGTTTATTTTAGTGAGTTTCTCCATAGCATCTTAAAAACAAAAATTGCAGAAGTCACTTTTGCAGAGAATCCGCATAGAAAATTAACAGTTTAAAGAAACAAAAGTATTGATATCTGATTCATACTTGATCAAACAAAGGTTTCAAGGGTACCAATGTACATCAGGCCTTGTAATCTTTACATGGCGTCACTTGAAATTATACTTACAGTCCCTTTCAAACATATTATTACCTGGTTTGGTCCATCTGTAAAAATACAATGAGAAGCAGTTACAACCCACTCTGCTAAACTAGGGTACCTCCACATCCGTAGTAACCTAAAGTCATATTATGTGAAAAATAGAATGAAGTCTTAATAGTAAATATTCGGTCAGGACATTAGAGTTGATAATACTGTTTGTGGGATTTCTACCAAATGCAAGATATTGCAATTGCTTTGCTTATTATCTTTGCAAGGGGGGTTTGCCAAATCTATTGAGTGTAATTGTGCTGTGTGCACTGTGCATAACTGCTTAAAATCATTTTGCACAATATTTGCACTATAACTTATCCACCAGAATAGGAATGGTATTTTCACTTGCTTGAAATGTATAAAAGCCTAAATGAAAAGCAAATCCATTGTGCATTCCCTAACTGTAGTAATTGTACGAAATATAAAGTATTGCTTTTTTAAAGCTTGGGTTTCCATTTAAAGAGACTATAAGCTTAACTTTACATGACTCTCCACCAAAAAGATGGCAATGCCTGATTTACACTGGTACCCTTGAATAAACATGGAGTTTGAAATTATACTTGATCAGACAAAACTTTTAAGGGTACCATTGTGAATCAGATATTACCATCTTTCCATGGAGGCAAGAGACTTAAAATTATGCATACAGTGTCTTAAGAACAATCAAAGGGTACTTACTTCCCTGAGGATTAGCCATCATAACCATCCAAGGGTACTCATTCACCTGAGTAAAATATGTTTTTAAAAATCAGAACATTTTTTAGTTCGAGATCTTTCCTTCCCAGATGTAAAAATTTGAGATATGAATCTAAAAGTTTAAACCCACCTGTGTTTCTACGCCTCCCACAATTTTTGTGCCAGCCTTCTTTACACCACATTTGACTTGTGCAGCAGTTGTTGTTGATGTGGTGGCTGTTGTTGTTGTTGTTGATGATGTTTTTGTTGTGGTCTTTGTTGTAGTGACTGCTGTTATTGTTGTCACTTTTGAAAAAAAAAATATTATGATCTCATCTTTTGAATGCAGATTAAATTGATTAATTTCATTTGTCCGGAAGAAAGCGTTTTATTTAAATAATTAAAAAAATGTGTAAGAAGCATGTAGAAAATTGTTGTTTAAAATTTGTAAGATAAAGATAAAAAGGTTTTACAATCAGCTGTTTGGCTTAATTTATATACAATTATAAAGATGAATTGTTGCAAAAACGAAATAAAGGGATTTTAATATTATTCTTGCAAAGTAAAGATAGAGAGTGATTAGGTTAGTGTTATTCCACCGTTAGCAGCAAACTGTTCTTGAAGCCAGGCATTGTAGTAAGCCACATCAGCATATATTCCATAACTACCAGCCTAAACATAAATATATGTTTAGGGTTTCCATTATTCTGGAATAAAATTTCCATATTGGAAATGGAATGATTCGGAATTTTGTTGCTCATAGTGGAATTCTTGGATAAGTCCTGATCAAATCAAAACTGGAATGCTTACAGATTACATAACATAATCCAGTAATTTGTCCAGTTTACAGAATGGAAACCAAAAAGTTCCCAGTTTTCATCTTGTAACCTGGAAATGTGTACGGTTTACATAACGTAAACCATAAAACTTCTAGTTTCCATTTTATAAGCCAGAAATTTTTCCGCTTTACATGACAAAACAATTTTTATTTTAATTCATTTAGAGCCAGGGGGGTTGTGTCCTGGTTGACTTGGATAGTGGACTGGTTGTGCCTTGACTGATACAGTTTGGGGGACGAACTTTTAAGAGTACGTCATTTACTACATAGACACTTTGCTTTCTATCTTGATGTTTGTATCCAATAAATGTTAAAACAGCTGGAACAATCAGCCCCAAATTTTGTGTGGGACCTTACATGACCCTGGGAAAGTTTAGGGATGATCAAAATTTCATATATTAGCCTCAAATCAAATTCTATTTTCATTGAATTGTGAAAATCCAGGAATTTCTTATAAAATCCGCTAAGTTTTGTTTTCTTATTATTTTGGCCTTTGCCAATCTATGTTGTGTGCGCATGCCCCATAAAATTCCAAAACTGAGAGAGGGGGATTGAATTTTGTAGATCTAGAAAAATAATATCCTTAGGATGCCTGCATAGAGACAGGCAGCTGGTAGAGTCTTAATGTAAGATATGTGGCCACAGCACTCAGCCCCCTAGCCTATCCTAGCTGCAGAGCTTGGCACATAAAGTGCCTTAACCTAACCTAACCCTAAATAAATACGAATTTCTAGATCTATAAAATTCAATCCCCCTCTCTCTGTTTTGGAATTTTAAGGGGCATGTGCATGCAACATAGAATGGCAACTCCCTATTATATTACAATCTATACAACGAGAAAATATTACAATTGAAATAGAAGATGGGCTCAAAGTACCCTGAAAGCCTAGTGTATCTATACTTTGCTTGTCTGACTGTTAAAATCTAAGCATCAAAACATCTGAACTAAATGGGCCCAAATATTTTGTGGGACCTCAAATGACAACAAAAAATATAGAGTTTGCCTTAAAAAAATACGATTTTTCAAAATCCACAAAAAAATTATTAACTTATGGGATTTTGTTGTTATTGTTTGATAATTAAAGAAGTGAAAATGTTGCAGATAAAAGCTAAAATCAAGATGAGCGCAACCTGCCCTGGAAGCCTAGTTTTTATTAATGGCTTTGGTATTTTTATTATGTATGTTAGGGTTTATATAAGGAATATTATTGCTTGTGCAAAAAATATATACCTTTGCACAACCATCACCCCAACTGACAACTCCTGCCAATGAATGAATGTTGGTTGCATCAGGAACTGTGAATGGACCTCCACTGTCTCCCTAAAATCAGCAACATTTGATAATATTTGATTCAACATAAATCTACATGTTATAACAGAAGCATTGCATTATTTGATTTAACCAAAAGAGAGATAAGTTTACAAAAATAGCATTGTGTGGGTTAAAAACCTGGAACTGTCTTAGATCAAAGGACGGAACTTTTGTGTGGAGAATTGTTAATCTTAAACTTGTGTTCTCAAAGTCCTCCAAGCGCAGGATATTGAAAAGGAATTGAATTGATTTGTAGAAATTGATTTGTAGTTCTGCATAGCATAGAGATTCATTCTTGATCCCAAGATTCAGAACTCAAAAGTTCCGACTTCAGAGCTGGCAACTCTTGGATTGTGAATATCAATATCAATGTTTGATCTTGATATTTTGTTAATCTGCAGATTAATTAAATCTTTATTCAGTTAGTGGATGAATAACTAAAATTAAGATATTAGAAAGTTATAAATTTTATTGATAGCTTTAATCTTTTAATTGAAAGTGCACGATAGTAGATATTAAGATAAAGCAACCTGGATTATAAATATACAACACAAAAGTTCCCAGCTCATGTTGTACAATATTTAGGGTACTTTTTGCTACAATTCCTAAAGCTCTGAAGAGTACTTACTTGACAAGAATCCTTTCCTAGTACTCCTCCTGCACACAGCATACCATCAAGAATCTAGAAATTAGTAGTTAATCAGAATTAAATAGCAAGTTACTCCTGCATTAAGAGTCTCCGGGGACCTAATTTAATCAATTTGAGCTGCATCGCTAAACTACCTTTTGCCCGTTCAAATTTGAACCACTGAACTACTTCAATTTAAAGTTAAAGATTGTTTGAAATCAGTGGTAATAATTCAATAAAAATAATTTCCTCAAAATCTCTTTAAACCATTTTTTTAATTAACACAAATCCCATTGTGAACATTTCAGAAGGACGAAAACCAATTTTTTGATCATTTCATAGTTTCTTGCAAAACAAGAAATATGCTTAAAAACTTAATGTCACATTAAAAGGTTACATCTATACTATGGTCTTAAAAATTTAAAAATTTACCGAATTATCAAAAACAGTTTTACAAGTAGCAATGCTGACAACATCTTGGTTAACTTCCAATAGCTTGTTAGAAATCTGTCCACCAAACGATGTTGTACCCCAACCTTTATATAACACTTTCAAGTTATAATCAAAAGTGTTTTATATAAGTATTTTCACAGCTTTTCTACTGAATTCACTAAATCAATTTTGCTTACAAGACATCCAGAGTGCAGCAAGAGATGTTTTTTTCCGCAAAATTTTTCGAGGGGTCACAAGGGAAGAAATTTGATTTTATGTCCTTCTGTTGGGGAAATCATAGGTCAGAATTGTTGGCCAAAATGCAGTAATGTTGGTCAAAAGGCGGTATTTCATAACTACTTTACAAGGAAGTTAAGGGAATTTAACTTTAAAATAGGTTACCAAGAGCTATTTTACATACAAAACATCCACAGCACAGGGAGGGATGTTTTTTTGGAAAAATTTACACAATTTTATTGTCTTTTCATGAGATGACAATAAGCGATCTTTTCACATAAACTTTGCGGAATGGGCTTTTTTTTAAATAATCATCCCAATGATGTTAAGTAACTTAGAGCCCTATGTTGGGGGAATCATAGGTCGATAATGTAAAATACATAATTCTAAGATAGAAAATTTACCATAAACTGTTCCAGTTTTCCCAACAAACGATGTCCCAGTAGGTGGTAAACATGCTGGAGTATAAATATTCAGATCAGCCTGGCAAACATTATTCATATTTATTTTGATATTTTGATATTTCGATGTATTGATTTTTTGATGGATGAAATTTCAAGTGACCCTCCAATCAAAAAAAAAGAATGACCTGTATGATTCACAATGGAAATCTCTATCAAATAATAAAGTATTTAGTATTGTTGTTTTTCTATCATAAACTTTGTTGGATTCTGACAATTTCATTTATAATCTCTGTATAGCTTAAATGCGAAAGTCACCTTGAAAGAGGAACTAGAATATAAAATAATCAATTTTCCAAAAGATAAAGTATAATATCTCATTTATCCTTGATCAGACAAAAGCTAAAAGAGTATCCTTGTAAATTCCTTTATTTTTTCATAAAAATATCACCTTTGTACTGAGCTTAAGAAGAGCAATGTCATCTTTAAATGTAGCCCGAACATATCCTGGATGTGTAATAATCTTCTCAACAAAAAACTGCTTCCTAAATATTAAATTATTTAGCATTTTGGGTCTGTGATGNAGACAGGAAAACACTCATAATTTTCAAATCATCAATCAGATAAAGGTATACACATTATCATTGGGAATCGAGCATGGCCCTCTTTAAATGGAGGGATCACTTGAAATTATCGTGTATTTGACGAGCTTAAAAAATAGACATGTACTTGAACACCTTAGTAAAGTAGTTAAAATTCGGCAAGGCAAACCACTTTTGCATGTGGAGCAGTAGTTCTAAATTATTTTAGATTAGTTTGGGGTTAATTTTTTCTTTTTTTACGCAATGCAGACTGACCCTGTTTTTCTATTCATAGTTTAAAATATCTAAGGCCTACAACATTGGGTAGCAAAGATATAGGGATTAGAAATATAAGTTTGTGAACAACTTGCAATTCCTTTAAACATTCTTATCTAACAGAAGTCATAGCTTGAAATATCAAAAGTCTACAACACCAGCCTGCAAAGATTATAATTTGTGGCGAATTTTTAGTTCTTTTTGTGTTTTTTTTTGTGTTACTTACAAAGTGAGTAAAAAAGCAGCATTAGTTTTAGTTTACAAACCACAATGAAAATGTTTTCAGAGTTCATGTTTGGGGTTAAAAAATATTTAATATAGTGCTAAATTTTTTTTAACACAAACAACGTGAAATAAAATTATTTAACAATTTTTTCTTTTTTAAAAAGCTCTATTAAAAAATCAGCTTTTTTTTCTATTCTAAAGTTTCATAAAAATCTATTGATGAATAAAACATAACACGCATTTTCCATTTGATAAAATAATGTCGAATTTCTAAATTTTTCAATCTTAAACATGAACCATGCCAACTGAAGTTATGATTTCAAATGTCAAATAAACATGAAACACAGCAATTGTGTTTGTTTGCAGACCCGTTCCACTTAATAAGTTGATTTTTTTGCAATTAGTAAATCATTTGCTTTATAACAGAAAATGCATATGTAAAATTTCTTAATGTCGTATTCCTTTTCCAGAGTTTTAGTGGGTTTCATCAAACAATGGCAAATCAAAACCTTTAATGTCCTAGAAACATTTATAAGATTTGAATTTTCACTAATAGCATGTTACAAAAAACTCGTTTACACTTTAGAAAGGAACTAAGTTTTTTTTTCAAATTTATTTACCCAACTCGATGGTTTAAACCTTGTATAATCAGTATTAATGGTCTATGACATCAGGTTGCAAAGATATATTAAATGAAAATTAGATTTTAAGGCATAAATTCATTTTCTTTAAACTTGAAATGAAAAACCACAAGTCTTTGCTCTTATAATCATCAGTTCGAATCTCTTACATTGATATATTAAAATGGGGGTTAATGTTGTTCTTGATCCAACTTTTTGTGATGATTATTTTATGAATGTTTTGAGGGGACTGGGGTTTAGGGATGCATGATACACCGAGAAGGCAGATACTCTCCCAGTGAATGGGATTGGGCCCCAGTGGTGGATTACACATTCATCCCCCCCTCCTCCCTCCTTAATCTCTTTGTCGGAGTTGCCGTTTACTTTGAGCCCAAGATCCTTGTTAAAATCAAATATATTAGTTACTCTCTGTTCACGAAATGAATCCCTATCTGTCTCCATGCCCAACCTTCGATTGATGCTGCACTGATTTTCTCTTTGGTTCTTTTTGTGTATATGTTTTGTTTTTTTTAAATGTTAAAATTTAATTAAAGAATTTGGTTAACAGGGGGGCTCAGCTATTGAGTCCGCCTGCTGCGGAAAATAACATTTTACATATTATGAGTTTTAAAAATTAATTCGTAAATATTGTTTTTTTTCTGCAGAAATAAATGATTTGATTTGATATTATAGATGTTTTGAAATGTTTTGATTGACAGAATTATTGTTACGCTTTTGAAATTAAAACTTAGCCCTCATAGTCTAACATTTTCATCAGACATATATCTAACGTTAGACTAATCAATTTAGTATTCTGAGAAAAGTTATGAAACATTTTGATTTTCTTAATTACATTTTTTTAAATGTTATACCATACATTATTGAAATTTTACTCTGTAAAAAAAACTTTCGTTTCCTAATTATTAAAATAATAACCCATTTCTGCAACGTTGAATTTTTCATTATACAATAAGGGAAAACGTTTCAAAACGTTTTCATAAACAGTAATGCATTTTTTAGTTATACAACGTTACACTTTTTATAAGTTAAACTTTGAAATAGAAATCCTTTCGTTACAATATTCAATCAAATCACAATTCATTTTTCAAACGTTAGACTTTCAATCACCCTGTGGAAACAAAACATTTCTTTACGTTATGGTCATAAAAGTTGTAGATATTAGAAAAATAACATTGCATTTCCACAAAACGCTATCGTTTGGGGCATATTCCTCTAATGTTAACTTTTAACGTTAACATTAGGTATGAGCTCCTATAACGTTAATGTTTAACGTTCACGTTATATAGAATATACCCAAACGTTACACATTATTGTAACAAAACGTACAAAAATGTACATTTTACGTTATGTTACACTATCGTTGACATCTCTAGTCCTTCGGCAAGTGCAAGGGCAGTACAAAAAAAAAAAAAAAATTTTAATTTTGCCAAACATGGTAGATATGATGCTTGTACAACAACAAAAAAATGAAGATCTAAAATAATAGAAATGTTAAAATATTTATAGCTGCTTTTATCTAATTATTTATAGAATTTTGCTAAAATTAAGATTTAGAAAACAAATATGTTTTAAAAACGTTTTTGTGATTTTAAAACAGCATAGGGCATGGTGTTGATTGCCAACCAACTAATATGATAACAAGACAACATATATTGATGATTTATATATTTCCAAACCTGATCTGTGTTTCTGTAGTTGAGATTCGATCATGCTCTCCAAGAACAACAGATATTTGGCTTGGTGTGATTGCTTGGTCCTACACATACTTTTATATAAATATAAGAATATTAATCAGAATGTCTTATATTGAATTTTTGCAAACCTGTCATGCTAACTTCTGTGAATGTAAACATCACCTGAAAGGAATATTAGCATAATATTGCATGTGACCCTCTGACCTCTGTTCAAAGATGGCAATGCCTGATTTATAATTCAGTATCTTTGAAACCTTAAGCTAATCAATAATATGGCAGATGCCTCAAAAAGTGTTTATTTTAGTGAGTTTCTCCATAGCATCTTAAAAACAAAAATTGCAGAAGTCACTTTTGCAGAGAATCCGCATAGAAAATTAACAGTTTAAAGAAATAAAAGTATTGATATCTTATTCATACTTGATCAAACAAAGGTTTCAAGGGTACCAATGTACATTTGGCCTTGTAATCTTTACATGGCGTCACTTGAAATTATACTTACAGTCCCTTTCAAACATATTATTACCTGGTTAGGTCCATCTGTAAAAATACAATGAGAAGCAGTTACAACCCACTCTTCTGAAACTAGGGTACCTCCACATCCGTAGTAACCTATAGTCATATTATGTGAAAAATTGAATTAAGTCTTAATAGTAAATATTCGTTCAGGGCATTAGAGTTGATAATACTGTTTGTGGGATTTCTACCAAATGCAAGATATTGCAATTGCTTTGCTTATTATCTTTGCAAGGGGGGTTTGCCAAATCTATTGAGTGTAATTGTGCTGTGTTCACTGTGCATGACTGCTTAGAATCTTTTTTGCCCATTTTTTGCTTTTTCCTTTTTCCCCCGGATTGGGATTGGAATTTTTTAAAGGCTTAATTGAAGCCAATTCCTTTTTGCTTTCCTTACTTTTAGTTATTTTACTGCATTTTATGTTTTTGTTTTTTAAAGCTTGGGTTTCCATTTAAAGAGACTATAAGCTTAACTTTACATGACTCTCCACCAAAAAGATGGCAATGCCTGATTTACACTGGTACCCTTGAATAAACATGGAGTTTGAAATTATACTTGATCAGACAAAACTTTTAAGGGTACCATTGTGAATCAGATATTACCATCTTTCCATGGAGGCAAGAGACTTAAAATTATGCATACAGTGTCTTAAGAACAATCAAAGGGTACTTACTTCCCTGAGGATTAGCCATCATAACCATCCAAGGGTACTCATTCACCTGAGTAAAATATTTTTTTTTAAATCAGAACATTTTTTTTGTTCGAGATCTTTCCTTCACAAGCAAAATTTACCATTATTATTTTACAGATGTGAAAATTTAAGATATGAATCTAAAAGTATTAACCCCACCTGTGTTTCTATGCCTCCCACAATTTTTGTGCCAGCCTTCTTTACACCACATTTGACTTGTGCAGCAGTTGTTGTTGTGGTGGCTCTTGATGTGGTGGCTGTTGTTGTTGTTGTTGTTGATGATGTTTTTGTGGTGGTCTTTGTTGTAGTGACTGTTGTTGTTGTTGTTGATGATGTTTTTGTGGTGGTCTTTGTTGTAGTGACTGTTGTTGTTGTTGTCACTTTTGAACAAAAAATATTATCATCTCATCTTTTGAATGCAGATTAAATTGATTAATTTCATTTGTCCGGAAGAAAGTGTGTTATTTAAATAATTAAAAAAAATGTGCAATAAGCTTGTAGAAAATTGTCGTTAATTAACTGATTTGTTCTTTAAAATTTGTAAGGTAAAGATAAAAAGGTTTTACAATCGGCTGTTTGGCTTAATTTATATACAATTATAAAGATGAATTGTTGCAAAAACAAAATAAAGGGATTTTAATATTATTCTTGCAAAGTAAGATATCTCACATTTCCAGTTTGAATTTTCTATACAATTGGAAATAAACAAAATTTGTGCGACAAATAATTGTAAACACAATAATTGTTTTTATCAACATTGTTTCATATATATATAGGGTTACCAAGATTTTGCTTGCGCGCATTGCGGGCCCAGTAATTTCCGCGCAATTCAGCACAATTCCATGCAATACGAGAACAGGTGCATTCAGTTCTGCACAGTTATGCGGAACTGATTTCCAATTAGAAACCGTAGTTATCTAGCTGTATAAGCTATAGTTCTTTTTTTTCAAATTTATAAGTTAAATTATCACCTGGTGTAGAGGTAGTGGGGTTTTCAGAAAAAGCTAAATAAATGAAAATGATTATATTTTATAACATATAAAATTGAACTTGAATGATTATTAGGGTGTCAAATTTATTCCAGATCAATTTGGATTCATCCAAAGGCCTTAGGGAATCTTTCCTGATGCTGTTAAGAATGATAAACCATTTTTTTGGGGGGGAGGGAGAATTAATGGCGGAACATTTCTTCATCAAATTATGACTAAAACTACCTTTTTGATCCTCCACAGAGCTTGGTGTTACATGGTGAAAATGTTTAGGAGACTATAATTGTCCAGTTAACTTTTACAGAATGTCACACCGTCTAAGGGGTAGATTTTTTTTGACGATTAGTTAAGTTAGGTTTCGCCCTTAATTTCTAAAAGTTTGAATGGTGTTAATAGTCAGGAAAGGTTACAGAAGGCATTTACAAAACCAAAAGGAGCCAGAAAAAAATTAAAAACCCTTTTGCTGATTGAATACCTGCATAATCAGCTTGAAGTGTCGCTATTAGCTGTTTCACTAGAAGAATGATTTGATCCAGAATAGTCAACAAAGCTCTTAGGCTTGTTTTTTCTGTTGCTGTGCAACTAACAGTTACTGTTTCAACAGCAAGAGCGTTTACTGCAGAACTGGCAGAACTTGATGTTGGATTGTCACCAGCATTGTTAACAACTGTTTCAAATGTTTCGATGTAAACGGTGCAAGTAACAGCTCTGTTACCAATGCTTTGGATATCTCTGGTTTTTCTTGCTTGATTAGCAATTGCCGTGGCAGCTGTCTTCAATTTTTCAAGAGCCTCCAAGGTAGCTGTAGCTGCATCTATTTTCTTCTTAACGTCTGCGGGGGATTTTGTACAGTTGAAAATTACTTGAGATGCCTCATCTTGAAGTCCTCTACATTCAGAAAAGGCAGCAACACAACTTTTTTGTGTTTTTGTAACATCTGCATTTAGTTGTGCAATGTTACATGGACTAAACTTAGTGTTGAGAGTCTCCAGATTTGGGTCTTTCCAGCATGTGCAGATGTCAGCAGTTTTTTGTGCACAAATATCCACAGCGTCTGAGAAAGCTTTTGCATCTGTAGCACATATATCCAGAAGAGTAGCATTTACAGTAGGTAGAGCTGTCTCACAAGCTTGCTTGATATTGTCTTGGCAGCTGGTTAAGCTGGCAACAATAGCTTGTAATCTTAAAGTTGCTGGCGAGGTACTGTTTCCAGAACAAACGAGTGCACTGGCATTTCCACCTCCTGACTCTTTAAGCTTGACAAGAAGTGGAAGAAAATCACCTTTCTTATCGCCCTTACTTTGCGAAAGTTTGACAAACCTTTCAATTCTTGCCTTCTGCTGATTGAAATTCTTAATCTTGTTGCCAACAATATTCATGTATTTTGATACATTGGTCAAACATGCTTCATCTGCAGTACATGTTTGACTCACTATTTTGTTGCTATTTTGACTTTTAACTCTTCTTGACTTTTTTGCATTCTTCTTCTTTTTGTTTTTCATTTTCCTTTTTTGCCTCTTTTCCAGTTTTTTAGCTTTCTTAGAGACTTTATTTTTCTTTGCTTTTTTCTTTCCTTCCTTTTCCTTCATTTTCTTGCTTCTTTTTTTATTGCTTTTCTTACTCTTTTTAGCTTTCTTGCTTGAAGAGAGTCCATTGTTGCCGCCTTTTATTTCTTTTTCATGACTTGATTCTCCAACATCTTGGGGTTTTTTGCCAGTAGCTGTTGGAGCTTTAATAAACAAATTAATTAAAAATTTCAACAGCCTCAGACCAATACTTTTTGAGTTATGTAAAAAAAACTACAGGGGGGGTCAAATTGACCCCCCCCCCAGCAGGAATAGGGTTAACCTAACCTATTTAAAGCGGGATATTGTTGTGTGGAGTATCCATAAAATCTTGAATGCTTGATATCAAATCCAATTGTGGCCCTTTTAAATCTAAAGATCTATGCTTTATCCTTCAGTTTATAGTTATCCCTGCACTGTCTGGCTTGACCAACATGAGACACCAAAGAGGAATAAAATTAATCCGTAGATCTTGAGATCAATGTTTGATTCCGTGATTAACAACACAAGATAGTCTGATAGATTATAAACAGGACTGAAAAAGCTATTAGCAATTGATCACACCTCATATTTTAAAGTAAATAAGTAAACCCTCATTGTTTGGTAATATTTGATCAAGCTTACAGAGGATATATAGTTGTTAAACCTTTAAAGGGACTGTAAAGGAAAAATGAAAGGGGGTATAGGCTGAAAGCTAATCACTTTAGCTCTTGATCACAACCCATGAAAGTTTTATCCTGTCTCGAGAAATTGATATTAAACTGTATTAAAATTATACGAAAGTTCATATATGTAAAATTTTGAAAATCTGAAACTTAAATCACGTGACCAGAACTATCACCAATGGCAGAGCAGTATACTGGTCACGTGTCTCCGCCTATATCACGTGACCACTTTAATTATCACCTGGTGTAGAGGTAGTGGGGTTTTCATAGAACGAACGAATTTTTTGTGAAAGAGGGGGTCATTCAGAAAAAAACAAACAATGGATGAACGAAATGGCTTGTTCAGAGTAATGAACAATTATTGCTTTTTAAAAACAAACGAAAAAAAAATTTTAAATTGTTCAAATGATCTTCTCGTTTTTTACTAAACTAACAATTTTTTCAAAAAAAAATTGAAAAAACTATCCTTTTTTTCTGAACAAAGATTTTAATGAACGAACGATTTTTCTGAACAATTGTTGAGTGAGAAAACAAACGAAATAGATGAACAATGAACGAACGAAATAAAAGCCGAACGCGCCCATCTCTGCCATCTCTACCAGACTACCACCCACCCTTAATTTAAGTTCAAAATGATACAATTTGCTGCAAGGGGACTAAAATCGTGATTATTAGATCATAAAGCGGGTAGAAAGGAAGGGTTGGATTATTTCAGGTTTGTCCGTTCTCGGTTTGTCCGTTCTCTTATCTTTGAACCTTTCCAAAAATATAAAAATATTACTTGCTAGAGCCACAAGAATTAGCCCTACAAGGACCAGTACTAGTAGCTTGAACATTGTAGACCTACTGAATACACCAGACAATACATCCTACAGATATATAAAGATGAATTTGAGGCCAAGGTAATTAGAACCTGGAACATTTGTTTATAATTATTTAGTTCATCATAATTATTTAGGGTTTCCATTCGCAAAACTTTTGCGCAATTTTTGCGGAATGAAAGGAAATTTTTTTCTTTCTTTGCGCATCAGTTTTGCGCGAAAAACAACAATTTGCGCAATCATTCGCAAAAGTCATTTCGCGCAAAATTGCCCTATTCCGCTTTTGCAAAACTCAAGTTTTCTGCAATTCCGCAACGCAATTTCGTAAAAATCAAACGGTTGGTGACGGTGTGTGTTTCTTAGAATTCAATTCTGGAAAAATCTTAGGCCAAAGTAATTACAACATTTGTTAATAATTGTTCAGTTTATTAAAATTCAAGGGAAATTACTATATTTATCTTTACATCCAAGCCAAGTGGAAAAAAACATATTTTTGAAAATAAGGAATACTACATATTTAAACAAGAAATGCCATTTTTAAATTAAATATAAGGTGTGAGAATTAGTTTTTAATAATACTTGATTTCATTTTTGCTCTTATCCCTTTTTGCAACAGCTATACCGCATTTTAGCTCACACGGCTTTCAGAGCGCTTCGCGCCCATCGTCTTTTTCAGTTGAACATTTTCTCTTTGTGTACATTGCAAAACAAAACAAAACAAAAAAGTTCGTGGACTTTATTAAAAATTATAATTTTTTTGTGGATTTTCAAAATTGAATAAAAATCAAATTTTGTTAGGGCTAATTTTTTATATTTTCAACATTCATAAGCCTTCCCTGGGATCATGTGAGGTTCCACACACAATTTGGGCCCGATCGGTTCAGCCGTTTTAACGTTTATTGGATACAAACTGACTCCAAAACAGATAAAGTTTACATAACTTGACTTTTAGGGCGCTTCGCTCCCAATCTTCTTTTTCAACTTTTAATTGTGGCTTTATCTGTGAACATCTTTTCTTTTTACATAAAAAAAAGTTTGCGGATTTCATTTTATTTTTTGCGCATTTTCAAAATTTTATAAAATAAAAAACTTTTAAACACTAATTTTTGAAATTTTGATTATTCATAAACCTTCCCTGGGTTCACGTAAGGTCCCAGAAAAAATTTGGGCCCGATCGGTTCAGCAAATAAACAAACACCCAGACAAGGTAAATTTATATATAGATATTAGATACTAGGCAATTAGATCGCTTCGTGCCCATCTTCAACTTCAACTTTTAATTGTGGCTTTATCTGTGAGCATCTTCTCTTTGTACAGTATAAAACAAAAACAAAAAAAGTTTGCGGATTTCATAATATTTTTTCACGCATTTTAAAATTTTACAAAAGTAAAAAACTTTTAAACACAAAATTTGGGCCCGATCTGTTAAGTCGTTTTGATTGGATACAAACAAACAGACACCCAGACAAGCTAAATTATGTCTTTAAAACATATCAATGTTAATTTTCAAGCATAGTTCATAACAAAGTAAGATTTTTTAAAACAAAATAGAAAATAAAAACATCTTTTATAATTTTAAAATCAATATGGCATTGAGAAATCAAAATATTAATATTATTTTGTTCAAACAATGCGGATTTAACTAGATATACAGGGAATTGTTTATTAAATGCTTGAAAATAAGTCATCTTAATATACTCATATTTATAACAAATAAGATGTGGAAACTTAGATTCTAGAAATAATTCAGTTTTAAATCAAATCAGTTTTCTTCCAAATTTCAAATTTAAGATGCCTGTACTTAATCAAAAATAAAGTCTAAGTTTACAATTTTCTGTGATTCAAATTACAAAAAATTATGCAAATTAGACAATAAAATCTCCAGAATGGAGTGACATTTATAAACACCCAACATGAAAAAGTTGAGAATCAAAAATACTAAAATCCGAAGAAAATGTAAGTTTTAGATTTTTATGGTTTTAAATATATTTTTCCAGGGCCTAAATCAATGTTCAGTAATGGGGTACTATATGGCTACTAAGACACACTACTTATCCCCTCCTATAGTCAGCAGATCTAACCCTGCTCCAAATTAGGTAGCCATATAGTACCCCATTACCCAATGTTCTATAGCACAATCTTAAAATATTATCTTGAAAAATAAAGATATATTCCATTTCACTGATTTTGTTTTTAATGGCGGGAAACATTTGTTTTTCAGTTGGCGCACTTTATTGCGGCAAAACCCTTTTCTTACTTGCTTTATTGATTCTGAATACGGACAAAGTATTCATCAAAGAAAACAATGAAGATTAAAAATTTAAAACCTAAGAAAAAAGAAACAAAATCAAATCAGGAAGAAAATGACCAACCAAAAACACGTCCAATTTGTGCCTAACATTGGAAAAACTATTATTTTTTATAAAAAAGTAAGGAAAATGTTGTTATAATTTGCATTTTTATACAAAATCTCAAAAAATAGCTCCAAAAATTAAAGTGTGGCCCCTGCCAAAGGGTTTAAAGTAACTGTATTAATGGAAATTCATTTTTGGCAAATGTTTCTATGGTAAAAGTTTTATGGCAAGAGTAATTATGAAAAATGTTTTATGGCTGATGTAACTATAGCAAAAAAAAACGGTAGGTATAGAAAATTTAATTATGGTTAAAGTTTTATGGCAAGTGTAATTATGGAAAGTGTATTTTGGCAGCAAAGTACCTATGGTAAAAGTTTTTGGCAATTGTAATTATGGAAGATATGTTATGAGAAATAAAGCTTAGACCTTCAATACCATCCAGACAAGATTGGCTGAATTAAAATAGATGTTAAATATTGGCTTAAGGGGAGTGTCATTGGCATTTTTTGAGTCACATTGTTTATCTGAAAAGGGGTATTTCTGATTCACATGATGGATTCCCTTTAAAGAGACAGGAAACGTAACTTCAATATTTTGTTTAGCGTATTTTATTCCATAGTATTGTAGCGACGCTAAAATAACGAGATAGATGAACAGACTGAATAATATATTTTAATCAAACTTTCAACATGGTAAAAAACTATATAAATATATTTGGTTTGGTTCTCTGAGTTTCCTGTCTTTGAAGACGATTGTTCAGGGTCTCTACAATATTACCAATTGTTGAAGAAAAATGTTATGTTTTCTCATTGTACCGTTCAGATAATACTTCCAAAACTACAATTTTATCTGACTTTTAGCCTCAAATATATTTCCCTTGCCCTCCAGTCTGGTTTGTCTATGCTTTACTTTTTGATAAATTAAAATTATTCTTTATTGTTTTTTTGGAACAAAAGGTTTTTTCTAGTAAGCAACAACCTCAGGCACACTCCTGTATGCCGAGTCCATTAGCTCCTGATCCAATCAGGGTTCAGTCATGTGTTTGGTGTCTATTCTGAACCAATAGAAATTGCTTGGCGGTATCATTTATCTTTCTATCTATCTCATTATCCAATTAGAGATAATAGAGATAAATCCTTATATCGGCGCTATACACTAAATGGAAATATTTACTTCTACTGAAACTATGGTGGGCATTTAATAATAACAGTCTGCAACAATCAAGCTGTTGTAATCCTTTAAAATGTGAAAGAAGCTGGATACTCTTTACAATCCATTTATCTTTGTATTCTAAAAACTTTTGATTTTCAAACTGTGAATTCTGCTTGTTTCATAGTCTCAGTTTGAAATAACAAAAGGTTTAAACTATTAGCTTGCAAAGATAAAGGAAAATTTTGGAAAATGTTAATTTCCTTTAGGTTTAACATTGACGAGATTTTACCTACTAGGGACCCCATGTAGATTAAAAATTTATTAGAACGTAAAGAACCGCTGCACATTTTTAAAATAAATTATTCATAATTGCTCAATAGTTTGAAAACAACAACTGTAAGCATATTCATAATTAAGTATTATTAGAAGAAGAAATTTAATTTGAAAGAATGCAAAAGTTGTACAAAACTGAATACAAACTGCATTGTAAGAATTTCTTAATAGATATGTAGATACATTATGAATGCCACCGAGCTGCGGAAAATGGCAACATAATGCGTAAAAAAACATAAAGTTACTCTTATTAGAGCTTTATGAGTGTTCCCTCTAAATAATGAGTTACCAAATTATTATTTCATCGTAAGAAATTTCAAATATTTTTCAAAATAAATATATAAATAAAATTGACTAAAAGTGTACAAATAATTGTATTTTTTATGCCTATGTACGGATGACTAGATTAAATCATTTTGTAACTTTTGATATTTATTTGTTTCCAGTACAAAATCTTTTTCAAAAAACGTAATGATATGAAAACCTATTTTTTGACGGAAAATAAACAAATCTTGTAATCTTGTGAATAATAGATTCAATAATTTAAATTCATATTCAAAAGCTGCCATTTGTACATTAAAAATTTCTGTATTTACAAGAAGAAATCTTACAAACTTATTAATTTACGAAATTCTTTGACAAGCTCATGACATGAATTGAGGTTAAGAAAATGATATTAAAATTCAGAAAATAATAAAAGAAAGTGTAAAAAAATAATTGAAAGTATAAAGAAAAAAACAAAAGTGTAAAAGAAAATAATAAAAGAAAGTGTAAAAAATAATTGAAATTGAAAAGAAAAAAAACAAAAGTGTAAAGAAAATAATAAAAGAAAGTGTAAAAAAGTAATAGAAAGTGTAAAAAAATAATATTAGAAAGTGTAAAAAATAATAGAAAATGCAAGGAAAATAATAAAAGAAAGTGTTAAAAAAATAAGAGAAAGTGTAAATTAAAAATAGAAAGTGTAAAGAAAATAAGAAAAGAAAGTGTAAAAAAATAATAGAAAATGTAAAGAAAATAAGAAAAGAAAGTGTAAAAGAATAATAGAAGGTGTAAAGAAAATAATAAAAGAAAGTGTAAAGAAATGATATGCTTGCAGTGAAAAAGAAAAGTTAATCCAATGTTTGTAATTTTCATTTCAAACTTGCTTAATTTGAAAATATGGGGCGCATCACATTCTATGAAATGAGAACATTAAA